GTAATTGATGTCATAAAATCATGAGTATGTTTTGATTTAAAGGTCAGAAGCTATAGCTTACATGAACAAAAAAAAATCCACACTTAAATTAAATAATTTTATATATACTGATTTATTCATTAATGTGTAATATGTTATATTTTTTAAACAAATTATGAGCTCAAATATTTTCAGAAATTTTACAACTCTTTTGCTTTAGACCACTTACAAATTTTAAATCATAAAATAAAATGTTAAGGTTTCCACTGCATCTTTCTGAAAAAAAATGCAGTGATTAATATATAGTTTATTTATAGTTATTTTCAAATATTTAATGTACTGTAATTATAAAATAACTTTATTATTGTTTATTTAATTCTAACAAATAAGTTCTTGTTAAAAACTAACCAAAATTAAAAATAATTATATATCAGTATCGGAGTTGAGCCAAAATGAGTTGAAAATTATCGGCATATCGGATATCGGCAAAAATCCATTATCGTGCATCCCTAACTAAGACTAAATAAAAAATCTAATTTTGCAAATTTAACTTGCAAAATTAGTTTTGCAAGTTAGGTTATTATTATTTATTAGGAGAATATCATGGAATAAATAATGTTTTTTTAATGAATAAAAAAAGACTTTCTCTACCTCCAGCAGAAAACACATTTGTTGGCACAGGCCAGGCTCGGTGTGGTCTCCATACAGCGGTGTGATTCAATCCCATAGAAGGTGTGTTTATAGCAGCCTCCTCTCCCTCTCAGCATTGACTAACAAAAGAAAGGCAACATTTGTTTCATTTATACAAAGACAAACTGTTCCTGTCTGGAAATATTGAGCTGCTATAAAAAAAAAAAAAAGAAATTTGCTAAAGAGCCTTGACAACAAGATCAATTGGAGGAAACAACTTACTTTGGTCCAACGACACAGTTTTACCCCAGAGTGACTTCCTATTAGTTTGTACCCTACAGACCACAAAGAAAAAAGCAATGAAGATGGAAACAAGGCATTTATATAGAGATTAGCAAGTTTTCAGAGTACTGATCCAGCAGCATAACCTCAAAAGACAAACAGAATCATACCCTGCCTCTAGGTATAGAAATCAAATCCAAAACACACTTGGTGAAGCTAAAATCCTGGATAAAATTTTAGCCAGAAGCCATATCACCCTGTAGCCCAAGACTGGTTGCCCACTGAAGCTAAGCAAGGTTGAGCCTGGTCAGTACCTGGATGGGAGACAAACTAGGTTGCTGTTGGAAGGGGTGTTATGGTGCTTTTCCACTGCATGGTACGACTCAGCTCGGCTCGGTTTGCGTTTCCACTGCAGTTCAGTACTGCTTTAGAGTGGGCGGGATTATTCACATGTCGTTATAGTTGCACCGCCTCTACTGCTCCACTGCAGTTCAGTACCGCTTTAGAGTGGGCGGGATTATTCACATGTCGTTATAGTTGCGCCGCCTCTACTGCCGCGACTCCTGAAAAACTTTTTCATTCCGCGTCGCCCCATCAAGCTCTCGTTGGATCCGCTCCTCTGCTATCAACGAGAGGAACATCTGTACTTCCGTAACAGACCACGAAACAGGCATTTCTTGGTTGTTAAAAAAAAGGTGCGCTCGTTCAAAACAGTTGCATTTGATCCTTCGCTGGCTGTGCTGATTTAAATCTAGCGGTTCTGTTGTGTTTGTGACGCAAGTTCAGTGACACAGGTAGTGACGATACTCTCCGGCCAATCAGTGATCAGCAGAGTTTACACATCACGGTTTGGTAACGGTACGGTTCACTTGGAACCTCAACCGAGGTGGTACTAAAGAGAGTACCAGGTACCAGGTACTGTACCCAGTGGAAAACCCCCCAAAAGTGAACCGTACTGTGCCGTACCATGCAGTGGAAAAGCGCCATTAGTGAGGCCAGCAGGGGGTACTCACCCGTGGGTCCTAAAGCCCCAGTATAGTGATGGGGACACTGTAAAAATCACCGTCCTTCGGATGAGATGTTAAACTGAGGTCCTGACTCTCTGTGGTCATTAAAAATCCCAGGATGTCCTTCGAAAAAGAGTAGGGTTGTAACCCTGGCATCCTGGCCTAATTTGCCCATTGGCCTCTGACCATCATGGCCTCCTAATCATCCCCATACACTGATTGGCTTCATCACTCTGTCTCCTCTCCACCAATATGGCTGCCGTCGCAGGGCGTTCTGGCGCAATATGGCTGCCGTCGCATCATCCAGGTGGATGCTGCACACTGGTGGTGGTTGAGGAGATCCCCCCCTTTCATGTAAAGCGCTTTGAGTACCCAGAAAAGCGCTATATAAATGTAACAAATTATTATTATTACTGGATTAGTCCAACATGTTTGAGTTTGCAAGTGGAAAATTTCACTAATATGGTTGACCTATTGTCAGGAAAAATAATAATTTTATTGCTTTTAATTGTTTAATTGTTAAAAATTTTTTCATGTCAAGGTCAAAAACAGATAAAGGACCAATAATATAAATTTTTATTTAGGCATCACAATGTAATCATATACCGTAACAAAGATGTAAAAAACACTGTTTAAATTAGAAAAATATATTTTTTTTTATTTTCTTTTTTTAAAGAAAATAAGACAATTATTCAAAGAGAAAAAAATATCAAAAGTGACAGTAAATACATTTATAAATGTTAAAAAAGTTATAATATCACGGTCACAAATTATAATAAATGTTTATTAAGCAACCGAATCAGCATATTACAATGATTTCTGAAGGATCGTGTGACACTGAAGACTGACGTGCTGAAAATCCAGCTTTGCATCACAGATATAAATTACATTTTTAAAATGTATTAAATAGAAACCAGTTATTTTAAAACTGTAATATTTCACAATATTACTGTTTTTACTGTATTTTTAATCAACAGTCCACTCAATACATTTACCAAGCTGCAACCTAAACAGTTAAATGATGATGTTACTGAAGTCACAACCATGAGCATATTAATATATGACCAATTATCATAACAGAAGTCATTTACATAAAGAGTACAGTACAATGGCTTCAAAACAGCCATATTTAACATTTACGTAGTGTCAGAGAGAGTGTAAAAGGTGATGTACTGTACTCCAATGAAATAAAGAGCCTAAAATTGGTGCTTTTATAATGTACACCATGAACTAGCAGAGACAGGCCTCTATTTTCCATTTTACAGTCTGCTCCGGATCCATCAGGAGAAACGAAGGAAATTTTCCTACAAAGCTCCTCAATACATCTAAGCAGACTGGAAGGCCAAATGTGCTTAAGTCAGAGCATTTCCTGTTAAGCACTTAAAGTCTGCCCATTTCTAAGGTCCATAGCCTGGTTCTCCCATGACTGTGCTGCGTCCCCTTGGGGAATCAGACTCAATTTAGACTTTAATTCACATGTAAGGGCCATCACTGGGGCAGCCATCACTCCTATAGCACTCTTAATAAAACCACAGAATATAAAGGCATAGCTCTGTGCTGAAAGAGCTGCTAGAGTTCACATCACAGCTAAACAAGACTTTCACACAAGAACTAGTTTTGTCCTTTTTGGGGGGGGTTAGTTAAATCTCCAACCACCTCCATCCACAAAAAATAGTTTGTGTTTAAATGAAAAAGAAAATAATGGGCCTTGGGGGTTAGTAAACATTCATTTTTGGTGAATTATTCCTCTCTTTTTCTCTTTAACACAGTTTCTCTCCTCATGCATGAAGGTGTGTAAGCGATAAGAAAAGCAGTAGGAGTGAAGCTCCATACTAATGATCCCAATCTAGAGTCTCTCTCCCATGTTCATTAGCTAAACTCCGTCTTTTATGTCTGCAAATAGCTCGCTGGGGCTGAGGAGGTAGGGGAGGTGTTCTCGTCTCGAAGAAAAGCATCTGTTTGGATAGAGCCGGGTTCAGAGAGCAGGTCTGGTTTGTGAAGGCTCAATATTTGGGCAGTTGAAAGCTGAGACAGAGGATTCCCTGCAGTGAATCATACTGAATATTCACATCATGGGGATTCATGTGAATGGAAAGAAGAACTCAACATGTCAGTGAGCTTTAAAAATGGATACGGCCAGGTGATATAGCTAAAATAATTATACTTTGAGATTTTCACCCTTTTGATCATATTTGATCTCAGTGGTGTGTGGTGGTGGTGGTGGTTCAAAAATGATTTTTTTTTTTTAATCAAATGTAAATTCATGTCCCAGTCACATTTTCTTGGTTAAATAAACATTACTTACACTATCAGAAAAAAAGGATTCTATTTTATATTTTTACATTAACAATGTAATCAATAATCTATTTATCAAAGCCAAGTATGAATCTCATCAAGTTAGTGTTTTAAGCATTTTACATTTATTCCAAAATAATAATTCAAGGCACTTTTTAAAAAAATTTGACTTCCCATTAACGGCATTATAATGTTCATTCAGACTGATTCATGAACGCAATCACAGGCGATCACAACCAGTCATATCCAATCACATCGCGATGGAGTCAGTGCCTCCTCTCACGTGATCTTTTGACATATAAGAGGTCAACATGGTACTATAAAAACATTCTGTAAGATTTCAGAACTCAAGACTTTCTCCACCACACAAAAGTGAGTAACTGTCTTCATTACGTGGTCACTTTTCACTTTGTCTCTTATTACAGATCGTTTGATATGTATGGAGTTATTTATGCGTTTTTGACCTAAATCGCAGCAGCGTCCATCTATGAGGAATGAATGTACGCTGTTAAACATACACAAGTGTTAGTTAGCCAATCATAGCAGTGGGCGTTTACTTCCGAGTCTACAATCTGCCACGCCTATTCAAACAGAGCGTTCTGAGGAGAGGGGTCAAAACAGGACAGAACATAGCCTATTACTTTTTGTTTTTGATGTAAAAATCTTGATAAAATTACAAGTGGACCTCGGAGAACAGTACAAAATCAAAAACAAAGGCAGTTCATGATCCCCTTTAAATGCACCAATATACAACACATTAACAACAAGAGAAATTTAGTAATATGAATATTTACCAAAACATTTCAATAACTGAAAAATGCCATGCTAGACGTCTATGAACATTTCTGAGTGATAGAATCAAAGTTATGAATCAAACCAGTGAAACAGAGTTTGAATAGATTCACAGAAATTAATTAAACTTACCAAATCTAAAGCTTTCTTTTCTACTTAAGTATAAATCAGAATCTTAATGCTTACCTACTTACAAGTCACGAAAATCAACATGAAATGTTTCTGTAAGGTCATTTTTAAATTAAAATTAAATAAACCTAAACCTGAACTATGACAGTTGTGGAGAAAAACAATTTCCGTTTAATGGTTACAATGCCGGAACCATTTCATACATTTTAAGCTTCATTAAATTACTAATTAAAATATTGGCAGGGTTGGCTTTATTGCCTACAAAACAATTACTTAATAGCTTTTTAGCTAAATGAATAAGTTTATTTATCCCAACAGCAAGGTTGAAAACTAAAGTTGTTTTAGAGGTAAAGTAGCCTACATTTTGATGAAGAAAAACTGTTACGTTCCGTGTTTATTTATACGATATTGTTGGTTGCTACGTACTGCTGTGTGCTCTTTCGGTCTCTCCATGTGTTACTGCTGCTCAACCAGGTGCAGAGGAGAGGAAGGTGATCACTCGCACCTGCCGCTCGTTACTGTGCAGAGGCTGCAAGCTCAAAAGCTGTTCAACATGCCTACCACACTGAAGCTTGACTTCCAGAGTGTTGTACCTCTCGCCTGCCTTGTATTGGTCTTGTGTTGT